TTGCAGAACTTTGCAATCTGTATAGATCCCTCTGTAGATTGTGGCATGACTCTTATCAGTTAAAAGGGATTTCACTGAAAGTTGTCTAACTTGTCGTCTAGCCCCTGTCTCTGTCTCCTCCCTAGTTCTGTTTCAGTGACTGAGATAAAGTGTAATTATAATGCCCTTCATTAGTACTGTACTAGATAAGGCCAGGCTCTTACTTCCCTGGAATGTCCTCCTTGTTCTTGCTTTGAGTCCTAAGGAACACATCTTCTCCTGTCCTTTCAAACCAATTCCCATTGCTAAGGCCCTGGATTGTAGCAACCATCCTTCCAAACAAATGGAGGGGTTTCCCTTTGGAGACCACTAATGCTACTCTTTGATCAGGCTAAAAGGAATTGCCTGAAGTCACTCAGTGCATAGCACAACCTCTTCTTCACCCCAAAGCTGTCTTTGGAGTTCTCCCCCCCCTCAACCTTTCCTGTTTTAGGAGCAAGAATATGGGTTTGCTGGATGGAAGTGCAGAACTCTGCCAGGAGATCTCCTAGGCAGGCCACCCATGAATTAAAGCACTTATTTGTCTATTCATCTATGATTTTTTGCCCCCACATTCATTTGCGTGGGTTTGTTCCCCTTTTATTAGAGATGAAATCCATCTGGAAAGTATCTGTCTCTCTGAGAAGTAGGCTTATCTGTATTGTCTTGCCTTCCCCTTCCTTCTGTGTTGGCACTGTTCCTACTCAAATTTTTATGCTTTCCTCTCTCCCCATAGGTTCTGTTGTACTCTTCCCCTTCTTGTTGTGTATTCCCCCCCCCACACCTCAGTATTCACAGTCTTCTATTTCCCTCCTGTCCCCCCACCTCCTGTTCTTTGTTGCTTCTCTTCCTCACCCTGTTCTTACTCCTTCCATACTGAATGCTCTAAAGCCTCATCTACACTACAAATCCAGTCACGTTGGAGGACTAGCATGGTTCTGCTCATTAGTGTAGAGGACTATCTAAGGCATTAACACACTTCATGGGTATGATTAGGGGCCACCTACTTTACATAACAACTGTACTTTTATTGTGTTGGGGGAATGACCATACTATAATCTAGTCCCTCCCAGATCTGGTTGTATTTATCATACAGACAGAGCCTTTCCTTCTCTACCTGCTCCAAGTATTAAGAGCAAGGTGACATTTATAACATTTCCTATTTCTAGAATGCTGCAGTATTAAATCATGGGGCAGGTTTATGCAGGGTTATCAGCAGGGACTAACCCTGGTACCCTCAGCAACACAAGCACAAGCCCCTGCCACTTGAGCTGAAGGAGTAATACAGTTGGCTGTCTGAAATAAGATGTCTCTTCTCCTCACTGGGGCCAACCACCAGGAAAATACATGATTATATGCTGTAAATCAGCACAGTGGTCTACTGCCAGCATTTCAGAAATCGTATTAGTTTCAGTGTACGTGAAGATGGAGTGGGACAGCAAGACAGAGAAAAGTGCAGACATTCCATACTGGCACATATCCTCTTAGTTTGAGATTTGATTGAGAATATTTGTTAGAATATTTTCTTGAATTTATATAAGAACTTCTCAGACCCTGCATTTTTTCATTCTTCTTTCGGTGTGTGGCTATGGATCTGGGGTTCAATCATTTAGTTTTGGTGTCCAGGCAGCAGCACTAGGACCTAGGTGAAAAAGGAGTACAGAAATATTTAGCTTGCCTGAGTCAAGACAAAATGTTCTTGTAGCAGCCACAGGAAACCCCAAGAACATCTCTGAACGAGGACATTTGAGGTTTTTTCTCCCCTGCAAACTTTTTATTGCACTTCAAAGCCTTTTCCCCACCTCTTTATAATGTTGTTCTGTAGTTCACACAAGATGTAAAATAGCACAAAGTGATCACTGTGCTATGGGGATTAATTTTTTGACCAGTTTCCTGATTCAGTATGTGTGACGGCCATTTTTTTAATGATAAATGTGAGAGAACTCCAAGTTTGTGTGGGACAGAGGTAAATCAGTCTAAATGAGCTCGTCTGATTAATGAGGAATAGTTAATTATATCCACAGCTGCCACCTCTATATCCACCTGCATTAGATTCCATAAAGGCAAGTGCCCTGTAGAACCATACCCCACAAGAAAGCAACTAGGGGGGTTTAAATCTATAAAGAATAAGCTGCATTTAGAGTACAGTAGATAAAATACTATTTTCTATTTCCAACTTTTATTTTCAAGAAGCCTACAGTATTTGCTGTTTTATATAAAGTGTTCACTGGAAGAAAAAACATGTTGTTCCATTTGTAATACAGTACAACGTGAACTTTTCACTTCCTCTCAGCAGCACAGAAAGACATGTCTATTTTGGTATTATACACACATACAAACAACCCATGTACAATACAGAGCTTTATTTGTTTCCTTGTTTTGCTGGTTGCAGTAACAAGACTGTCAGCATTGGTTTGAATACCACTTGCATATGACTTAAAAAACAAACAAACAAATCATCTCTTCCTTATAGAAGGAGTGGGGTGAAGTCTTATGGTTATAACAGGCAACTCAGATTCAGGATTTCTAGGTTCTATTTCTAAGAGATGTTGAGTTGCTGTGCAACTTTGGGCTAGTCACTTAGGCCAAAGTTTTTAAAAGCAACCACAGATTTTGGGTGCTCAACTTGAAATGCCTGGGACCTGCTTTTTAGAAAGGCAGAACCCCCACAACTCTTACTGGAGTCAATAGGAGCTACTGGCATTCAACATATTTGATGATCAGGGACAAGGTGTGTCCAGTTTGCCACCCACAAAGGAAGCACTCAGTGACCATTTCTGAAAATGTTGGCTGTAACCCCTTTGTGCCTCATCTTACTTATCTGTAAAACAGGTATAACAGTTACCTTATAGGTTTGTTGTGAGGCTTAATAATGAATGTTGTTAAAGTGCTTTGAGCTCTCTAGACCAAATATTAGATTATATACCCTCATTTAAGAGTCAACTACTAACTTAAAATTAAATTGCAAACATAACACAAAGCATAACAAACATCTTTTGAAACAGGTAATGTACATGTTGGATAGCTAGTAATTAGATAGACAAAGGAGTTGGTGCTGGGAGCTTGTAGGTTTAGGATTAGGGATTGAATCCAATCAGCATTAGGTTGCAGCCAGAGATTTGATGGCACAATTTAATACTTCATCTGTCACTACCAAGTTTGCACTTGTTTTTGTTCTGTAATTGAAATGTTGGTAGGTGAACAGGATAATTTTTTATAGTGCTGAATCAAAGTGTAATACATATTTCAAAAGCAATAGACTCAGGTTACCATACACTTATGTCAGAGTTTTGTAAGTTCTGGTGGTGTGATGTGCTGAGGAAAAATGATCCAGTGATTAGCAGGTCAGTTTAGGACTTGGGACACCTGAGTTCAGCTCTCTGATCTGCCACAGGCTTCCCATGTGGAGCTGAGGCTTAATTTCTCTGTGCCTCAGTTCCCCATCTATAAAATGGAGACGATACTGTGAGGGGATATAAAACTACTCTGCAATATCCTGGACAAACCTCATGGAATTAAGATAATCATTACTGAATTAAGATCAATGCCTTTGGGAACCATTGTATTAAAATGCAGTTGTTTGCATTATTGGGCGATTTGTATGTAACTTGGGGTATGTTAATATTCCTCTGGTTACTAGCCCTTTGAAGCCACCTTCCTGGAGAGACTCACATAGACTAGTTTAAACTGGATTCTCCATGGACCAACAGATAGAGAAAGGATTTTTGGACAAATAGCCTGGTTTTAAACAAGCTCAGGACCTTCTTCCTGATCCAGGAAACGGACAGGACCACTGGTCCATGGAAGACCCCAGTCCTTAGGGAAGAGTTGGAGGGACTTAACCTATGTGGCCCATAAGGCTAGGTGCTAGTTCAGAGGTGAGGTTGCTATGAACTTGTGTCCCCTTTGCGAGGGGTTTGAAGGACTCACCTGCTGGAGCCCATGTTGAAGGGATCTCTCATAAGCTTATTAGCATGCATGTAGGTTCTTTTATTGTTTTAATATATTTACTCTGTAGTGCTATGCTTTTATTTTAAGAATAAAATGGGCTTGTATAGGAACTACTATATGGTAACTTATAACTTGTTGACAATTACTCTATCAGTCTCTGAAGAGAAAGCAAGCAGGCCTGCTTTGGCAGAGTCTCTTGCTGCAATCACAGTATAGGCAGGGGAATGTGCAGCCTGGAAATACCTGGGTCAGAAGGGAGTGAGATGTGTGTCTCCACTCGAGAGGTGATGGCCGGGGAGCTGGAAGCTTGAGAATGGGGTTCCCTTGCTGTCCCATAGAGGAGGATACAGGTGTAGTTGCCTTGAACTGTGACAGATATTACTATCCTTCTTTCCAGGGATGTTGTGAGCTATTCAGATACATATGATACATTTTTCTGGGGGAAATGTAAGTACTTAGATATGATATTCATAATCTGTTTGATATGAAATCTATCAGCATATGACATGATGTAGGTTTTCTGAGTATGTAGAAATTGTGTGTTAACTATACTGTGAGACACGTAATATTGTATACTACTGTTACACTATATTAGAAATAAGAAAAGGAGTACTTGTGGCACCTTAGACTAACCAATTTATTTGAGCATAAACTTTCGTGAGCTACAGCTTATGCTCAAACAAATTGGTTAGTCTCTAAGGTGCCACAAGTACTCCTTTTCTTTTTGCAAATACAAACTAACATGGCTGTTACTCTGAAACCTATATTAGAAATGGATTCTTTGAATAGGAGATGGAATTTTATAACCCTAGTAATATTGCTTTGCACTTTTGAGATATTTTAAAGGGATGGCCAGAGTAAGGCAAGGGGTATTTGGTTTTTTTTGGGAGATTCTTTTTAATTGGACTTAAGTTTGGAGGTATATTGCCATTATAACTATGGAGCTGGGTATATTGCTTGGGTCTTGTCCACAAAACAATTGATTTCGTTTCCTCACGTCCCCAAGCCTTAGAAAAGTTAAAGAAACAGACTTCAAACTCTTGAAATTTATTGGCCATAGAACAAACAGTTGTATACATTATGGTAAAGTAAGAGCAGATTTCGGTGTCTTGAGTCACCGCCTCTGCATTAAACAGCAGCTCCCTTCTCCTAATATTCTGTGTACAGTCAAAAAAGAAACATGCCAGCAGAGAGAAAAGACTCAGCAAAAACAAGGAGATCTAAATATAGAAATCAGTTAACATTTTCCCCTTCAGTTGGCCCCGCACAGTTCGTTATCACATTCTTCTTCAAAAAGAATCTTCTTCCATTCAGTGCCTTTGCCCTCCAGGATTTGGACTCAAAACAGCAAAGGTATCCAGGTCCTGAATGATTGATATTACCTGGCCAATTCAGGCACGTACACTCCATTGTGAGTAGAAATGATTGGGTTTTTTAAAATAACCTTCCCTTCCCCGTTAAACAAACAAGTTATTCTCCAAGTCTTTAAAACTTATGGTATTTCATAAGTTACAGAAATCAGGCCCTGCTGAATTACTACCAAATGTCTACACTGCAGAAGACTAAAAGGATTTGCAATTTTGTGGTTGCAACTTACTGGATACTATTACAGAGCCACCTGGTGTGGATTTAAAAAACATGATGCAGCTGGGAACACACTGATAAATGGCAGCGTATTTAAAAATCAATCCTGAGTGTTGTATATTTGTGTTGTCTTTCAACACCAGTGATCCCAAAGCTTTCAGCCTGAGGATGGAGTGAACCCCAGCAGCTGCTCTATTGGCTTGTACCTCCACTCATCTGCTTCCAGTTCTTCTACTAAACCAGCTAGTTTTTCCATCCGAGCAACTTGTTGATCTACAAGAAGTCCAAAGATAAACATTGTTTGCAACAGCATTTCACTTAAATCTTTTAATTAGATGTATTATCCTTTGCAGCAGGGATGTCCTTCCCTAATAATCCAGGCACTGGAAAACAGTTTTGCTCCACTGTGTCAGACTAGTCTGAACATTTAAAAAAAACATGTATTGATATTTTCCCTATAGAAGCAAAGACTTCATCAGATCATACAAGAGAACAGACTTCATTAACCTTCTTCAAGGACTAAAAATATATATGTCCAGCGTGGGACAGGAGGTCTATCTGTAACTCTCTGAACATACTGAGGCGCTAATGTGGATCAAAAACTGCAAGAGGGAAACACAAACTTATTAGTGTAAGAAGCCGAAAACAATGTGGGGCTATTTTCTTTAGCATAAATAACTGGAGGCCTTAAATGCAACTCACTGGTATTTCTCTGTACGTATATAACATAACGTTTGAATGTTGCAGCCAATCAATTCCAGAGAATGTTCTAGGCATCAATGGCCAGAACCCTACTGATCTGGGGGAAAACTGGAAAACTTAAAGGGGAGAAATTGGGGGATACCTGGAGACCCTGCCATCTGATTAGTACAGCCACAGATTCAAGTACCTCTTCTATAGAACAAACAATTGCTAGATGGCATAATAGTATCCCATCTCATCTCTGCTCATGCTCCCAGTAGACTTTACCATGTTGACAGCGTGAATGACTTATCTCCCACACCAATAATAATGGGGAGTATGGAGGTACACACAAAGTCCCTGACGTGGGGATGGGGAATAAGGAACACACAAAACCTCTGGCAGGGGGGAGAGATCAGGGGAGCCTGGTATGGGGAAAGGCGTTGCAGTGTAAATGCTTCGGCTGGAGCCTGGGACCTTCCCCCTCAAGGGGTCCAGGAGCTTGGGCTCCAGCCCGAGCCTGAACATTTACACCACAATTTTACAGCCCCTCAGCCCAAGCCCTGAAAACCTGATTCAGCTGACACAGGCCAGCCATAGGTGTTTAACTGCAGGGTAGACATGCTTAAGGCCAGAAAGTAAGTCTGTATTACAGCCAATTTGTAAGGTTTCTGCTCTCTGTTCAGACCTCACCGCTTGTGTGTACAGTACAGCATAGAGCAATGGAAAAATGAGGTTAGAAACGCTTATCTGCTCCCACCCCCACCGTGTGAATTTAATTCAATATTTGCATCACATTTGAAAAAGGACCTAACAATAGCCTCGCTTAGTGCTAATTCAGGAAGTTAATTTAAATAGCCATTCTGCTTTCTGTGGTTCACGGCACAGTATGTTGCTGGCCTTTGCTATATCCTCCTGCAGCTTCCACAGTAAACTTATAAACACGCTCACAAAACGTACAACACTTGAGTGCTTACCATGTTTCACTTGCTTTAATGTAGAGGCAACCTGATAGCTGAAAACGGATTCACAAAGGAATCTTTCTGAGCCATCTGTAAACAGAAGAGAGAGTGATTTAGTCTTTCCTAAGAGTTTTATGACTGAGAAGCTTTCTATAATTTTTATGTTCAGAATGTGCTTTTCCTCTGCTCACCTACTTTACCAGAATAGGACAGTGTCTAATGTGCAGCACTCTGGTCTGTGGGTCAGGAAGCCGTGGGTTGAAGTCCCACACCAGGGCTTTGACTTATACCCAGTGCTGACACGGAAATGGAGCACAGAGTGGGTGTGCTGCTGCACTGTTTGGTATCTTGGTACCCCTTTTGCCTGCTTCTCATGGTTGCTGTCAAGAGGGATGTGAAAGATGCTATGGCATTTTGATTAAAAGAAAATCTTGGTCTCTGTGCCAACAGTCTTTTCCTTAATAAAACAAACGTGAATAATCTACAGCCTGAGAACTGTTGCTGAGTTCATAAAAGTTGTTGCATTTGCCCACACAGTAATGGCTCTTAAGATCTAACTCTCATCTTTAGGAAGTCTTTTGAGAGAGAGTTCGAAAGGTGCTCCATAAAGCTCAAGTTTTCCCTATATTTCTGAAAATATAGCTAAAAATTAGTTGAGTAGCCTTTGTATGACAAATGACAATTTGCCTGTCCAAATACAAAATGACATAAAATTTCATCCTTTAAACTACGTTCGTTTATTGAAAGTGTAACAGAAGCACTGCGATTTCAGTTAAGATTTGAGTGTTCTGCAGTGCAATTACAGGACCAAATACTGTGTCAGTGCCAGAAAGTGCCCTGAAAAATGGTAGGAGAATCATAATTGAAGACACTGTAGAAACTCAGCTGTGGATGGCTTTTTGGAAAATTGTAGGGTGACTGACATGTGTTCATAATTGAGAATTACTCCTCGGCTGAGGGCAGTGCAGTGCAGTATAAAAATAAATGTTTAGCACAAATGGTTTGTAGAAGGTGTCTCAATTCACCATCTCTGCCTGAATGAAAAGGAAAGAGGCCGCCGTCTCCCTTTCTAGCTTTTAATTCATATTAGCACTACAGCATGCCACATCTCAGCCAGTCATGTGCACTTTTATCATATAGAAAGCACAATGAAAGGAGACCAGGTTCTAGAGAGACGTAGTACTTGACACAATCTGTACTTAAAAAATATATATATATATATATACAAACATATAAAAATATTAAATATAAATATAAAAATACAAACCTTAAAGCAAGCCATGGTCCATCAGCCTATCCATTACATATAGACCATATTGTCTTTGCTAAATGCAAATATAGATTCAATAAATCAGAAAAGGGATACCTACACTGGAGGAAAAAAAACTGGGCCTGATCCTGCAAAGTACAGAGTCCCACCGCTGTCAACTAGAGTTTAGAGTACACAACTCATAAGAGTGTCTTAAGCTCTTTAGTACCACCTTATCTCAAGCCTGACTGTGCATTATTGCCTAATATAAAAGGTCTTCTCAGAGAAAACAATAGTTATTGCCTCATTTGTATGTAAGCCTTGCTCTATCAACATCATGGTTTATTCTTCCATTAACTGATTCTACACCTGTAGGCAGGGCTTCCAGTTTACACCACTTTAAAATATTTTGTTCAGCAACTGAAAGGGCTATAATACATAGCCACTTCCCTAAGGATGATAAAATCTAATTATCTTCAAGTTCTGAGGTAGAAAAGAGTACATCTGGTGCCACAGACAGATTACTGAATATGTGGAACAACAGATAACCTTACAGTGGATTACAATTTCATGGTTAAGTGATACTTCCAGCATTTATTATTCTATATGCAACCCATTTAAAATAATTCCATTTTGTGTGTGCAAAATGTCATTCTAAAAAACTAAAGGAAAAGGAGTTACAATTCTATGGATCACTCCAGCTCTCCATCCACACAAAGAGAGAAGCTCTCATAAATACTGATTGCTAATATGTGTGGCTATTAGGATAAATAATACAGTTAAGACATTTATACACATTCTTTGCTAAATGAACTTTAAAACCAAAGGACAGAACTGTCCAAAGAAAACACATCTTTCTTCTGCCAGGCTATGTTCTTGTGCATCAACTAAGATGGCCAAGCATTAAAATATATCAATTTATTAACAACGTCCTTCACTATCTTGTCATGTCTTATTGCTTGTAATGTAGTACTTCAGTACCAGTTTTAAAAATGAGCGGCTAACTAAATCTGACAAGTTAAGTACAGATTTCCATTCTGAAATATCCCTACTAGCCAGGCTGCGGGAGGCATTCAGCTCAGAAATCAGCTTTCATTGACCTTTTGCAATTATTTCCCCCCCCAGGCCTACTTGGTACTTCATGGGTCACTGAAGAAATCCCAGAATGTGACACCACAAATATCAGAAACCTTATTGCAATCTATAATACTTGTATTATCACAGAATTGTCTGTACTGAGTTCTCCTAAGTCTAGAGTCTCGAGGACATGAATAGGCTGGAACTTTCCATATCACATTTAGCAAACTCTTCACAATAAACTAATGTTAAATCTGATCCTCTTAAAAAGGATGGAGATGCTCCAAACAGGAAGTCACTTATACATTACCAGATGGAAAAGCCAGGTTGAACTTAGTCCTCAACCTAATAAGTATGTAATAATTCTAGAAGAGTCTCTTCTGACAATGGGAGCTAATAATAAAGACATGTTAAGAAAAAGCATTTTATCCTTGTTCTTAAATATTGATGAGGGGTTGTCTACGTCACCAGACAAAGTCTGCAGTTAATTTTAACTAACTTATTTAGTTGTTTCAGAGTAACAGCCGTGTTAGTCTGTATTCGCAAAAAGAAAAGGAGTACTTGTGGCACCTTAGAGACTAACCAATTTATTTGAGCATGAGCTTTCGTGAGCTACAGCTCTGTAGCTCACGAAAGCTCATGCTCAAATAAATTGGTTAGTCTCTAAGGTGCCACAAGTACTCCTTTTCTTATTTAGTTGTGTGAACATGACAGGAGATACTTTCAAAGGCATCATACCTATCAAATACATAATTCTGGGTGTGACCTTCATTTTATTTCTTTCAGTTCATCCCACAAGGAGAAGAGTCAGCAGTTGCTGTATGCAGATTTCTAGCAAAACCTCTAACAAAGCTTAATAATAGTCTTCAATTTTGCATGTCACTTAATATTCAGACATCCTATTTTCCCCCTTCCCTTTTAATGCAAAACTCCCTCTCCCACGGCCTGAAAAATCCACTTGCCCAGGGACAGCAGAAAGCCAGATGTCTTGTCTGCGGATGACTCAAGTGCCTCTGCATGAAGCATTGTCAAGCTGCAGCACAATGAAAACTAAGTCTTTTCGGCCTCACTGCAGCTATTCAGAACCCAGTGGGTGGCAGTAAAACAGATTGGCAGTTCATTTCACTTTGCTGTTGCTTGAGAAACTGGGCAACAGCAGAGACAGACGACAAAGCAACGCAGTGAGTAAGAACTAAAAACCAACCTCAAGGTGGCATAGAGCAGTGTTTCTCAACCTTTTTGATACTAGGGACTGGCTTGCTGTCTTCCTAAACCATGTCAGGTAGATCTCAGGGACCGGTGCTAGTCCATGGACCGGTTATGGAGAACACTGGCATAGAGTACTGTAGCTCCCCACGGCAGCAGCCAGGAGGTCAGGGAAGAATAGGCTGGTAAAGATCCATCCACCTTCATAGTATTCAGGTCACTCGGGTGGAACAGAAATAAAATGCTCCTCCCTTCCAGAAACCAGAGGTGGAGGGGGGAAAAGGAGAGGATCCAATTTATTAGACACCTACAAGCTACTGGATGATACTAAAGCTTTAATCAAATTGCAGGGGCAGCACCACTGTAGAAGTCCCAGGATCTGAGCAGCACAGTAGTGGAGAGAAGTTGGCTTCTTACCTGGGCCTTGCCCCTAGACAGTAGGGCCCCTCATCTTTCATACCAAGCTTTGGCTAGTGGTTTAGTCCTGTTTACTAGGTGTCTTTTCTAGCTTTGTGTGTGATTGGATAGAAGTGAGTGGACATAAGTGGAGCAGGCCGGAAAGATTGATTGAATAAGCACAGAGAGAGAGCTGACCAGCAATATGGGGGGGGAGAAAGAGAAAACACAATATGGTGAAACAAGACAAAGAAATGGACACTGAAGACATGTGCTAAGTTTATTAATAGAAAGTCAGATGAGTACACTATCTTAATCTTTTAAATTGCAGGGTTAGTGGTAGTACAGTATCCAGGGCCGGCCTTAGGGAAAATGGCACCTTGGGCGAATTTGCATTTTGGTGCCCCTGGCCCCCATGGGTTCCCCGGGCTCTCCTCCCTCCCTTCACCCCAAAGACCTGCTCCCCATCCTGTGCCCCAATCCCTGCACCCCCTTCATTCCCAACCCCTGCATCCCCCTCCTGCACCCATGTGGGGAAACTGACCTGGATGCACGAAAGCAGCTGGCATTGCTGCTCGCTCCCCCACCCCCGGACTGCTGCTCCTCTGTCCCACACACCCCTAAGGGGCTGTGAGGGAGGGACCGAGCGAGGAGCAACATCAGGGCTCCCGGCATCCATGTCATTTTCCCCGCCTGGGCTGCCTCAGGAGAGGGCCTGAGAGCAGCAGCTCCTGATGCCGCACAGCACAGCACAGGTGAGGAAAGTGATCTGGATGCAGGGAGGGACCCCTGGTGTATGTGCTGGGGGGGACTGTATAAGGGAGACTGTGTAAGAGTGTGTGTGTGGGTAAAAACAGCTAACAAAAGCCAAAGCTGGCCAAAACACCAGCCATGTGCTGCTCCCACTAAAAGGGAACCATCACACTATCTCATCCTTCACATTTCTCATATGAACAACCAGGGCTTGAATTAAATTTTTATATGAAATTGGGGCAAATTTAAAAACTATTTAAAACATTTTAAAAATAAAAAATATGAAATTTTTTAAAATACATTTTAGTGTCATTATTCATACTAGTTTTGCTAGTCTTTTCCCCAAGTCGGAGGCATGGAGACTCGGATCAGGACCAGCTGTGCCTGCAAAAGACATCCCTCTCCAGAC